CGATAAGAACGACTAGAGCTTCGCTACTCAGAGTTGAACATGAGTCAGGTATCGGGCTAGCGGATAATACATCCAGTGATCAGCAAACTCAGTAATTGTCGTTGAATCACAAAACACGTAGAGACTTCTTTTGAGATAAAGTGACTAAAGCACTCTTAAATAACGAATAGAAAAGTTTAATAAATAACTATAGTAACATACTATAAGCCTTCGCATAATGTTCTAGTTGAGAGAATGAGTGAGATAACAGTTAATGAGAGGATGACTTCACTTTAGTAAGCCCAGTTTTGCTAGGATATAGTCAGGTTACCTTAGTTGCCCTAGTGGGGCATTGTCATTGGGCAAGGCACTTCAGGGGCTAAATAGGGCACAAGGCCCGAACATTCGCAAGTAGTGGGTTAGAGATGTCAGTGTCATGCGAGCTTAGGGCCCTCAGTCATACATGTATAGTTGCATCAGTCCAGTACAACAAATATCTTAAAGCTTGGCTTGAAGGCTATGTGAGACCGAGCCAATACTTCAGTTAGCCGAGAATTGTACTGATGCTATATGACACTGGTTTCCCTTCAATGATCTAATTGAAGGCTATGTGAGACCAGGAGATTATTCAACAGTTTAGTGAAAATTACACCGATTCTATGTGACACCGGGTTCCCTTAGTAACTAGTGTCTGAAGGCTATGTGAAACTAGATACTAGTCAGGGTGAATTCAGATAATACACAGTACAATTAGGTTTGCATTCAAATAATGTACATGAGTATCAATGTCGCAATTAGATAATGCCTAGTAGTTACATTCATTAGGGTTAGAGACCTTTTAGTGGTGTACTCATGGCGAGGCCCTTAGCAGAGGATTAAGGGAAATATGAGACCCCTACTTCAGTGATATAACAATAAAACTTTAAATAGGTAGCACTTGATCATGATCATGCATGTACCTACTGTTTAGTACCATGTCTTTAGTATTCTTGTGTTTATGAAATTCTTAATGTTGCTCTAGATTAGATATTATATTGTTCGGCTTTGTAAGCTCAGCCGTCAGATGTTTTCCATTGGTAGGTCAGTAGCTTGGGCAGTTCGTGGAGCTCCGTTGCAGCAGGACTTCTAGCATCTCTGAAAAAATAATGTATTGTAGCTTTAGTGGGCATGTGTATTCATAGAACCTTACTTTTGTATTAGAGTTGTAAACCTCAAGATGTATTATTTTGTTTTAAATTATGTGTCATGGAGCTCTGTTTTATAAAATATTTTTTATAACAGTTATTTATGTTTTATTTATGATATCATTCATTAAGTTTGAAAAAATGGATAGGTTTTAAAAATCAGGGGGTTGACTTAGTAACCCAATGTGGCACTTTAGGCCCAATCGGATTTAGGGTGTTAAAATTAGCCCCTTCTTTTAAATATGATTACAACTTCTACCATTATCTGAATATGACGCTTTAAGTTTGAGGCTTCTTGGTTACTATAGGACTCTTGTGAAGGGGAAGTGAGATTTTTATGGAAAGAGGCTGATGGGTTGGTTCTATAAAAATCCATTATGTTTGCAGTGATCTAGATAAGTGGTTTAATAATGTCTGTCGTTTAAAATGGTTGACAGCTTTGGATCTCCAAAAGAGTCTAATGGATCTTCTTGAGCTAGTATCAACGGATGAGGTGCTATGCGATATTGTTGACGCAAAACTCAGGCTGAACTTAGAAGCAGATAATGATAAGTTATATTGGGAGGAACGAACTTGGGTTAATTGGCTTAAATTTAACGATAATAACACGAACTTTTTTCATATATATGCATCAATTCGAAAACGTCTGAAAAAGATGGTCACTTGAAGATGATGACGGTGGTGGTGTTAAGGGTGAAGTATGTATTAGTAATTTGGCAAAGGTTATTTCCAAATTGTCCATGCCGATAGTAAATAACAGAGTCTTAGAAGGGATAGAAAATTGCATTCCATTAGGTATTAATGATGAGTTGCTGCATGAGTTTTCGTATGAGGACGTTACTTACTTACTTGTACATTCAAAGTCATGAGCCCTTTGAAAGCTTCAGGAGGGGACAAGCTTGGGACTTTATTTTACCAAAGATTTTGGCACTTAATAGGTCATGAAATAGTCATGTATTATCAATTTCATTTAGGATCGTATGATATACTGGAGATATATCATACTCATATCGTTCTTATTTCCAAAATAGCTGAACCAAAAAGGATGAGTCAATTTCACACCATTAGCCTTTGCAATGTCATTCAAAATTGTTTCAAAGATGTTTGTCCACAGAATGCAAGATCACCTACATTTATGTATTGATCGGGCACATAGTGTGTTTGTCCTAGGAAGATTGATCACAGACAATGTTATCACCGCTTTTGAGATGTTTTACTCTTTTCAAATGAAGAGAACAAGCCGTAACGGATATTTCGCTTTAAAACTTGACATGAGCAAAGTTTACGATAGAGTAAAGTGGCCTTTCCTTTGGGTTACTATAGAGAAAATGAGAATTGTAGCTAGATGGATTGATTATCTCAAAAGGTGCGTGAGCTCGCTTTCATATTTGGTTATTCTTAATGGATTTGCGGGCAAGAGTTTTAAAACTCAGCGGGGTCTTCGCTAAGGTGATGTTCTTAGTTCGTATTTGTTTCTTACATGTAGCGAGGATTTGTCTTCACTATTTCGCCAAGCTGGTGCTTTGGGGGACTTCAAATGAGTGAAGCGAAATAGATATGCACCAAGGATTTCTCATTGTTGTTTGCAGACGATTGTCTCATTTTTTGGGAGGCTACTGCAAGCATGACTTCAAGAATTAAGGAGATTTTGTACATTTATGGCGACAGTTCTGTTCAAGTAATAAATTTTCATAAATCATGTGTTTTTTCAGTTCAAACGTCATAGAGAAAAACAGGAGTAATGTGTGTTGTATCCTCGATGTCTCAAATACTTCAAACCAAAAAAAATATTTGCGCATCCCCACAATTGTGGGTAGGAATAAAAAGGGTGATCTCTCACATTAAGGATAAGTTTTACAGTCGGGTTCACAACTGGTTTACTCGAGCGCTGTCTTAGGGTGGCAAAGAGGGTTTCATTAAATCAGTTCTGCATTGAATTGTTTTCTGCTACTGAAGGGTTTGTGTTTAGAGTTAATCAGTATTATGGATCGATTTTGGTGGAAAAAATCTGGGTACAAGAGGTATTCATTGGTGTGATTGGGAATCTTTGTGCCCGTTAAAAGAAAGGGGTGGTTTGAGGTTCCGAGATATGATGAAATTTAATAAAGCACTTTTAACTAAACATGGTTGAAGACTACTAACCAACCCAACATCTTTGGCTGGACGAAGTATTATTCCTCGGGCGATTTCTTAAGCTCGGAATGAGTTCTGGTTCCCGATAAATCCTCCGAGCTTCGTTGAATCTAATCGATCTGATTCGGTAGTGTATGTTGCAGATTTGATTGATGACGATACTGAAATTTGGAAGGATGAATTAGCTAGTAAGTGTTTAATGAAGAAGAGCCCAACTTGATTCTCGGAATTCCAATCTCGTAGTTCAATCAGGAAGATTTTTGCGTATGGAATGGTGAAAAGTCGGGCGTTTATAGTGTGCATAGAGATTATCGGCAACTACTTAAAGGGGTGGATGTTTCTCAACCGATGAATGCTGTGTTAGAACACACATGGACTTGTGCTTGTCAAAGGAAAATTAAGTTATATGTGTGAAAATTTATTCAAAATTGCATCCCTTCAATGCAAAATTTATACATAAAGCATATTGACACAATCATTTTTATTAACGATGTGATGGTGTTAATCGGGTATTCATATTGTTAGAGACCGTCATCTATCTAGTTTGATTTGGTCGACTATGAATTATCATTGCTCCCTACTGTAACAGATGCAAACTTATTAGATTATTGGGTTGGGTGTTTACTCGTTATCCTTTATCAAAGCATGTAGATATTTTTGTAATTATTTGGGGATTATGGTTTGCCCGTACTCAACTTTACCATGAGAGGAAACAAAAGCGAGTGAATGATTTTGTTACCTTTGTTTGATCCCATTGCTTGAAATTTAATTCTGCAAATGCTAGCATCCAAGGTCCTAATCGTTTGTTTCTTTCAAGTTGGATACCTCCCTTTCCCCAGCTGTGAAGGTAAACTTTGATGTCCGATTCTCACAATCACGACAAAAGCATGGTCAGGAGTTGTTATTACAGATAGGAACACATTCCGGGTGCCTGTAGAAGAAGGTGTTCAAAAATTACCTCTCCTTTCATGGCAGATGCCATGGCAGCAGTGCATGCAATCCAACTCGCTGTTGATCCGAGTTTTCGGGAAGTTATCATTGAAGGTGATACGCGTACGATAATAGAGAAACTCTCCTCCTCAGTACAGGACTTATCGTAAATAAGTGCCTTGACATGGGAGGTACGAAAGAGACTCGAGTCTTTACATGCATGTGTGTTTCGATTTTCTCCATGGTGAGGCTCGCTTGCTGCGGATGAACTTTGGGATGGAAGATAGATATTGGGTTGAGGAGGCTCCCTCCCTGATGAAAAGGCAGGCGACCGAAGATAGAAGATAGAAGATGGATTGACCCCCTTAGTTCTTTCAACACGACCGACATTGTGTGCATGATCGATCTGCCATGTTTTTTTTCTTTTTCTGATTTTGTGCAAGATTGAAGAAAAGTTAGCTGTATGCCTCATTCTTTTTATTTTTTAATGTCTGTTCAGTTTCTAGAATTTTGTCTTTATGTTTTATTTGTCTTTAGTTTCTGCACCATTTATTGCTGCATTGATGCTTGTGCGTTCTGTGCACTGCACATGGACAGTTTTGTGTTTGTGTTATCTTTTAAAAAAAAACTGGCTTTTCCTTTTTCAAAAAATTAATTGATTTAAATATTTTGGTTTAAACATCCTTTAGATATTTCTTAATTCACGAGAAATAAATCATTTTAATCCAAGTATGAAAAATCCGTAAACCGAAATCTAAACAACATTTTATACACAAAAACCCTAAAAATTTCAGTCACATTCCAACAAAGTAATATCTTGGAAGCAAAGCTTTTAACTTCTTCAACACCTAAAGCCTCCCAAAACTTGTAGCACAACACTTAATATATTTCTATCCGATTTTGTTTACTAGTAACGTAGTTATATATATACATTTACATATATAACAAAAACCTTCTATTGATCCTCGTTAGATCGGTCATCCGGAGACACGGGAATGACAGGTTTAGCATCAACGAGCATTTTGACTACCTCTCTCATGGTGGGACGCAAATTCGGAAGTTTGGCAGTGCAGAGGATGCCGATCTTCAAGACTTTAACCATGTCGTCTCGGACCGTGGCTGTTTCGGTGGCTACTTGTCTGTCGAGAATTTTGATGACATTTTCATGGCGGTTGAGGTGAGTTAAAACCCAGTGAACAAGATCTTGTCCTTCTCCGTACTCTTCGTCAATGGCTGCTCTTCCGGTTACTAGTTCCAGTAACACTACTCCGAAACTATAAACATCGCTTTTCCTAGTAACTTTTAGAGTATATGCAAGCTCTGCCAAGTATTTGAATGATAAGATATATAGTTGGAATATATATATATATATATATATATGCAAAGTTCGAAAGAATGGTAAAAGTGTTTTCAAACTCACCAGGAGCAATATAGCCATGGGTGCCTGCAAAACAGCTCCATTCAGATCCCTTGAGAGATTTTTCTGCAATCTTTGCGACCCCGAAATCAGCGATTTTCGGCTCGTAATCCTTTTCAAGTAAAATGTTGGATGATTTTATATCCCTGTGAGTGATAGGAGGGGAGCAATCATGGTGCAGATAAGAAATTCCCTTGGCAGCTCCCAAGGCAATCTTATGTCTTTGATGCCAATTCAACTCTGGCTTCCCATCTTTTTTCACTCGGCGGATTGCTTGATAAACGTTTCCGTTTTCCATGTATTCGAATACCAAATAGCTTGATCCGCCTTTCGTCAGACATGCGTAGAGCTTCAGAATGTTTCGGTGCCGAATTTTGCCCAAGATTCCCATCTCTGCCGCCAAAACCTTGAGGCCTTCCCCTTTCCACAGTTGCTTCACAGCGACCACAACACCTTTTTTCCTCAAATCCAGGCGATAAACTCTTCCGGTACTGCCGCTTCCGATCAGATTTTGCTCCTCTAGATTACATATTTCCTCAGCTTCGATATCCATGTTGTGGAAACATGCAATTTCCCATTTCGGACTAACTTTGTTGCCGCCTTCGATACTGTTCTCAATGTCTGCTTGACTACGCTTGAACTTCTTGTAACTCAGAAGCAGTAGTCCAGCTAGAACAATAAACAAAACAACAGCTATAACGATGTACAAAGCTGATTTATCTCTGAATACCCTTTTCCAGTCCCGATCTTCCTTGCAAACATTGAGCACTGTACCGGCGTTCATACGAGTTTTAGTATTTTGGTCAATGCAGAGTCCCCCGTTACCAATAAATGCTTTCTCTCCGTCGATGGTCAAGAGCTCATGAGGAACATTTCCAGACAATTGGTTATCAGACAAATCAATGGAACTCAGCTTCAGGTTTTCGAGATTCTTCGGAATTGGACCGGTAAGTTTGTTTCCCGAAAGATTCAAAGAGTTCAAAGAGGGCATGAATGAAACTGTTGGTGGGATAATGCCACTGAAATCATTACCAGCAAGATTCAAGTCCACCAACTTAACACAATTACCTAGTTCCACCGGTATCGATCCGGTAATTGAATTTTGCTCGAGATGCAACGAAAATAACTGCTGCAGAGCACCAATCTCAGCAGGTAGATCTCCAGGAAAGTTATTGTTATTCAAAAGAAGCTTCTCTAAGTTGATCAACTTGCCAAGTTCCGATGGAAGATTACTTGAAAATCTATTGTTCTGCAAAACCAACTGAGTCAAGTTGGTGGAAGATCCAATGCTGGCAGCTATTCCTCCGGTAAAGTTATTATCACCAAAATCAATTATGTTCGCATGCGGAAGTGCCCAAAGTCCATCTGCAACTTCTCCGGAAAATCGGTTCTTGTTGATCCTGAGCCTTAGCAGTGATTTACATTCAGCATACGAATCCGGAAACTGTCCTGAAAAGTTATTTTCAAGAGCCAGTAAAAGTGTTAGCTTTCTTCCCTCACAAAAGAACCTGGGAAATTCACCTGAAAATTGATTCTCCGATATGTCGATTATTTCCAACGGTGAGAACCGGCCCAAATTGGCAGGAAATTCACCGGAAAACCGGTTTTGGTAGACCGAGAACCCTATAAGATGGTTCATATCTCCAAATCCTGCAGGGATCTCTCCAGAAAAGTTGTTGGAGTAACATTGGAACACAGTCAAATTCAGGTTTCCAAGCTCTTTCGGCAATGTCCCGTGCATATGATTCGAGGAGATGTCGATTTCTTTCAAGAGAGGAAGATCAGTTATCCCTGGTGGCAACTCCCCTGTCAAATTGTTGCGATACAGCTCAATCTTGTTAAGGTTTTTCAGTTTCGAAATCGAGTTCGGGATAATCCCAGAAATCTTGTTCCATGACACATCCAATACCTCTAAGGCCTGCAACTCAAACAGGGACTCTGGAATCTGCCCTATAAGATTGGAATTGGGAAGATACAAGTAAGTCAGGTTCTTCAAATTCCCGATACTCTCCGGAAGCTCACTCTCATAGAAATCATTTTCAGCTAAAGCGAGATAAGTCAGTTCAGTTAAGTTCCCTATCCAAACCGGGATAACTCCCACCATTTTATTCCCGGTCAAGTTCAGAACTCTGAGATTTGAACAATGGTTTATTTCTTCTGGAAGTTCCCCAGAAATTGCGTTCTGAGGCAAAGAAAGGCTTTGAAGACTTTGAAGCATTGAAATGGAAGGTGAAATTTCACCGGAAAGTGATTCCCCAGCAAGTGAAATCCCCGTGACATTGCCTGAAACAGGGTCACAAGTAATTCCATAGAATGTGCATGGAGAATCTGATTCTTTCCATGAATCCAAGACGTTTAAAGGATCTTTGAGCTTGTTTTTGAAGTCGATAAGAGCTCGGGTTTCGCCGTTAATGGCGGAACAAGGCGAGAAAACAGCAGAAGACATGACTGAGAACAGTATAAAGCAGCAACATGGAGTGATGTTGAGGGCCATATTTGGAATTCAAGGAAAGGAATTATTGAGCTATAAATCCAATGTTTAAACCATTCCTGACTGGCTGGCAATAACTGAAACAGATAATTAAAGATCAATTATTTTATTGAAACAAATATTAAAATAAAAAATAAAATATGTTAAAAGTAGATTTTGCTGACAAACAAAGACAAAAAAAGGAAGAAAATCTGAGACTATTTGCACTTGAATTTTAATAGTAAGAATCAAAATCGGCTACCCTTTGACGGTAAAGAACAACTTCTAACCTACAAAAGATATGAACTTAATAAGTTGGATTTGTTCATAAAGTAAAGCAAATAAATTATTATTATTATTATTATTATTATTATTATTATTATTATTATTATTATTATTAAAAAAAGGCAGGAATCTGGAAGAGAAATCGCAAGACTCGATCAAGGTTTGGTTGTCAATTCTGGGATAATAATGAAACAATAATCCAAATCTATTCAACTTAAAGTAGCTTTTTTTTCAAGGTTTCAATGTCTCAACTGTTCAAACCCATATCTAACATTCTTTAAGCTACTATGCTATGGATTATATAGCATTCATAATTAACAACAGAATTTCATGGGCTTATCTTTCTCAACAGAAGACTGAAAAAAACAAAATCCACAAAAAAGTTTGAATCGAAATAAAGCAAACAATTTGGAAGTGAAAACAATGGGAGCTACCAGACGTACCTATGTGAAACTCAGGCAAGACGAAGACTGGGGTTTTCTCCTTATTTGTTTGGCTACTGGGAAAGTGAAGAATTTCCCACTGTTAACTAGTGTTTAGTTTCCCAAGAGAACGATGGATTTCTCGAGGAGAGGTTACTTTTTCCTTCTTTTTGGGCTATTTGTTGGAAGATCCTCACCGAAACTGAATTATCTAACAAATCAAGGAGAAGAACAAAGCAAGCAAAAGCCTCAGTTTCATTCTAGTTCTAAAAAGAAAATTAGAAGAAGAAAAAAACACAGAGACAGTTCGGTTTGGTTTGATGATCTCTTGAGAGTAAATGAAAACCCAGATTCTGGATTGGGAGGTTTCAAAATGGAACTGCCAAAATCACAGTAGAAAACCAGGAAAGAAACAAGCGAAACGCAAGTGAAATGAAAAAGGAAAGGTAAGTAATTGAAATGGTATTTTGTGAGAGCCAACAAAGGAGACAACTTCTGCAGTGCGAAGAAGATTGATTCAGTGGGGAAAGGTAAGCATTATTCGTTGTATCGATGCGTGCATGATTCGAGTGTGGATCCACCAACTGGCATAGGTGGAAAGTTCACTTCGAGTAATTTTTTTAAAAAAATTATTATTAATTTAAAATTTGTGTAAGATAATATTTATTTTAAAAATTAACTATATATACATTTTATAAATATAATTGGATCCTTTAAACTTTTAAGAATAATATTATTTCTTTTTATCACTAGTTACTCAATGAGTTTTAAATTATAAAATTAAATAGTTATAGTTATTTAGTAAAAATAAAAAATATTAAAATAATTAAATTCAAATAATTGTTTATTTAAATTGATAGATTATTAATAAAATATAAATAATTATATAAAAATGATAAAATAATCGAAAATAATGTGAAAATAATTGAAAGTGAAAGCTTTTGTTTTAAGCAATTTTTATGCTCCCACATCCACTTGGACCTATCCGAGAGAAAATGTAACAAAATTCGGCAAAAGAACAAATGCAATAAAGGGTATATGGTCAAAGTAAATAGCGTAAAATATAAATACTGCTCATGCAATAGATAAATCAATCAATAATTTCTGGATAAGCATTATTTTGGATTTGTGGTTGTGATTAGGGTTATTTCTAATTTAAGTCTTAAATTATAAATTAACACTAACATGTCTTTTAAATGATATACACGAATCAAGCTATTTGATAGTAAATGAATTGCTTTAAGGATTTGAGTTCGAGTACTAGAAATTTTAGGAGAAGGAACGTTCAATGTCAAATCATTTTTTTAAATGTGAGTTTTGTATGTTTTATTGATGATTGTACGTACAAAACAGGAACAACATAATGAGTCTCGTTAAAAAAAAATCTTCCTAAATCTAAATGGAGGAAAAAAAAGTGCACCATTTCAAAGTCGATACAAGAAACGGCATACAAAACCGAAACAAAACCATCTCAATTTAATGTCAAATCATTGAGAGTTGTCTCTAAATAGATAATACATTGTACTTATGACAGATTATAAAAAAACAAAAATAATAATAATAATAACATCCATTAATAAAATGGAAAATGTTAATCATATTTTTTTATATAAAAGCCGTTTTATTAATTTTTATTTAAAACGATTGAAATGCAATTTAGAGTAAAATATAAGAATTATTATAATATGAAAAATGATAGTTTGTGATAATTATGGATATTCTTTTTAGTATGAGTGAAAAATTATTATTAATAATAACATAATTTATTGAAGAATAATTTCATATTTTATGTAAAAGGCCTATGGCTTTCTAAGATTTTTTTCATTTGAAGAAACAAAATCTTGTATTTTGTTATGTTATTGTTTTAATACTAAAATTTTGTAAATTCATAGCATGTTTAACTTTTTTTTGGCATTTTTACCCAAAAATCACCCAATATTATAATATTACCAATCAGACACCGTTTTTGTAACACCCCAACCCGTATCCGACCCGGATACGAGTCCGAGATGTCACATTGACATTTCAAAACCTTTATTCTTGCAAAATAACATAACATTTGAACTTATATTAAGAAAATACGATCATATATTGTTGAATTATATTTGTTATAAAATTTTGAGGCAAAAACGTATTTATGAACAATAATCTTACCAAATTTTCAAGATACTCTAAATCCAATTCTATCACTTCATATCTCTTAATTAAGTTGATGACAAGTCAAATTTAATTTCAAATTCAACTTATCAACTATTTTCTAAAAATTCACTTAAAACCCATTTTCTTTAATCTCTCCTAACTTCTTAATCTTTTGATTTTAAGACAACTTAAGCTTTCCATAAGCTTAAGTATCACCTAAGGATCAAAACTCACTCTTGAATTTTAAAGATTAACCAGAAAAAAAACAAACTCACCTTAGCTTGATTTGCTTCACGGTTGGGAGAAGAAGAAGATGAAAAAGAAATATATGGGAACATGGTTTCCCAACATGCTCCACATGGGTATTCTAATACCCATTAATTATTATTTAATTATTTTACTTATTCAATGACCTATTTACCCTTTAACTCTTTCAATAATCACCAATAACCCTTCAGATATTATTTTCAAATAAATCAATGAACTTTTCAACTTTTCCACTTTAATCATCAAATTCTGAAATTTTATAATTTAGTCACTAACCCATAGTTTGGGATGTTACAATTTTCTCAAATTTTATCGATCTAGCACCCTTTATAATAAGGTGCATTACGTGAAACGCGCCTTTGCTTAGGTGGAACGAAGGCGCCTTCCCTGAAGCGCACCTTTCAGTGAAAATATTGACAACACACCACTTGATAAGGCATATTTCAAGGGGCACAGCTTTCATGTTTTTCTTGCCACATCAGATTCTCTAAAAACATATTAAAAAATATGCTTTTAAAAAAAACTATAGGGACTAACATCGTAATTTAATACATATTATTTTCATGACTTGAAGAGCATAACAGTGTTAGTTTATATAGGTATATTAGAGTGTTTATGTTATGTTTCTTGACAATGTGGGATAAAAGTTAAAAAGTGTATTCTTTAATCTTTTTTTTATCTCTATATCTAATAAATCTACTTATACACTATTGTTAAATTACATTAGGTTAATATTTATTATTAAGGTTTATTAATTAAGATTATATATTTTTTTATATGTTAATATATTTAAAATTTTATTTGTTAATTAAGAGTTCAAAAATTTTATATAACACAAATTAAAAATATTGTCACATATTGTCAAGAAACATAACATAAACACTCTAATATGACTATATAAACTAATCTCATTAACATCCTCAACTCATGGAACTAATATATATTAAATTACGATGTTAGTCCTTATAGTTTTATTTTTTCAATTTTTTAAAACGTATTTTTTTAAAAAAATACTTTTAGGAAATTTGACCTGGTAAAGAAATCTTGGAAGGTGTGCCCTTTGAAATGCGCATTTCCACATAGTGTTATATCAATATTTCCCTTGAATACGCATTTCAGGAAACGTGCCTTCGATTCACCTAAGTAAATGTGTGTTTCATGTAACGTGTCTTATTATAAAGGGTGCTAAATTAATAAATTTTGGGAAATGATGCCTGACATGTAATATCATAATATTTAAGGTGATTTTGGTTAAAAAAGCAAACTTTTTTATAATATAAAAAAGAAGAGGAATATATTGAAGAGAGAATAAAGGTGGGTAGATATTGTACACTATCCATATACCATATTCTTACAATGTTTCTAAATTCCCTCACCACTTAATTATTGATTAGGTCTTAATCAACAAAGTCACCATCCACATTTTTTTGTCCGCTTCTAGTTTGATCTCATCACTCCGTATCAAAAATTTTCACAAATATTTCAATAAAATTTTGTATGTTTTTAGAGAAAGTATATTATATACTCTAAATATTCAATAATCACGATATCATTTTCATACGAGAAGAGATATACCACTTAATAAGTTAAGTTTAATTGTCACACACATGTTGTGTTTATCCGTTCATCTAATATGGATTTATCGAAATTGTTAATGAAGTAATTTGATGTGCTTTGCCGAAGCTATTTGTCGTTGGATGACTTTGGGATTGATGAAAAGCAAAACATAAACATGATAGACTTGGTTCAAGTCTTCAACTGACTTGTTTCCTATTTTGTATTTGCATCAATCTCATTCTACTTGCAATATCATTTTAATAATCAAAATATTGATTTATTATTTAAGTTTTATTATAAAGATATTCTATTTATTTATCGAATAAAAAAAGTGGAAGTGGATTTTGGTACCGATCCAATTGAACTCTATTGTTTGCGGTTTTCAATCACAAACCATGTTGTTCAATCAACGCTTAAATTAGAAATCCTTGCGCATTTGCGCTGCCTTCTTTTTTTTCCCTTTTTTTTTCTTTAACTTTTTTATTCGCGCTATTAATTTTAATATTAGTTACTGATGGTTAGTGGTTATTAATTTTCTTATTTTTTTTACCCTATATATTTTGTTTTCTTGAGGTTTTTATAAAATTTGAACAAAAATTACATTTTTTGTTCTCGTGGTACTTGATTTCTCTACTATTGTGATATGATTTTATAACTTTTAGTATGTTTTTCGTATATTTTTCACGACATTTATTTTTTGATTGGTTTATCGATGGCCACATATAATCAAATCCCCTCTTTGGTAAAATATCATTTGTCGATATAATCAAAATCGTATAGTGAAACATCCTGTCAGATAGTTTGGTTCCTTCACCACTCCTTTATCATTTCGTAAAGCATATCGTTTGACAGAGACTATGAATTTTTATGAAGGTTACTGATTCTTTTTATGTTGGTGGTCATTCTCAATGGAACGTTCCATTTTATTCGTACCTTTGGGTTTAAAACTTTTATTTTTGTATGATTTTTTTGTGACTATTATCTTTAAATTTTTTAATATTTTGATGCGTTGTAATTCTAATCCTTTCATTATTTTTATTAATAAAATATAGTTTCCATTGTTAAAAAAATCCCAATGCATTTATATTTTGATTTTGCCCGTGTCATTATTTCGCATTATTGCGTCATATTTTGTGTTAGTATAGTTATACTTATCAAAAAGGAGGAATACGAAATGATGCCAGTAGTGTACTATTTCGATTTTGGTGTTTGTCTGTGCTGACTAATAGTATAATACCAATCTGTACCATATTCCATATACATATTACTTGGTGCATGTTTTTTCTCTTTTGAAACGCTTTTATTCATAAACTTTTGGTTCAATATAGTGCAACACGAGTTTATAAATTAATTAATAAATATGATAAAGTGAGGAGATCCCAATTCTGAAAATTTCAGGATTCTTTTTGGGAAGGAGACATGTTAACATTTCACTACAATATTTTTTTTTGTTGCCTTCCCGGTTTCAAAGCTTCGCCTTGATTAATCCGGATCGACTCACGTTGCACACTTAATTTT